CAGCCAACCCAGATGCAGTAGACCCTTTTAAAGAGGATCTAAAACGTATGGTTCAAGAGCATGACCTAAAGTGATATCTGATTTATAATGCTGATAAGACAGGATTGTATTGACGCTTATTGCCTGACAAAACTTATGCCTCATTAGCAGAAAAAACTTGTCCTGGATTAAAAATTTCGAAGCAACGACTAACGTTTATAGGTTGTGTAAATGCTTCAGGCTGAAACTCCTAGTGATAGGGAAATCAAAAAATCTCTTTAAGGAATGTTTTTTTCAATATTTTGTACCTGAACTAAGAGTTAAAATTATCTGCCATTTGTTTCATTGTATTTCAAAATTATATTACACAATTCGTAGGTGAGATGTTTTCTGTGCGCTCAGGAGTTACCTCAGAAAGCAATTCTCTTTGTGGATAACGCGCCGTCCCATCCACCAGCAACAGAACTGAAGACTAAAACGACTTTAATACAACCGTTGGACCAAAATATTTCAAGGCTCACCAATCTGTACTATAGAAACAATTTGCTCAGTTCTGTTGTATCAACGGAAGAAGGAATAGCTGCAGCACTCACAATCAGTAAGATTTCACTAAAAAATGTAATCGTACATTTGTTTGCTCAATTTAGCACAACAATAATCGAGAACTGAAGACTTGGAGAAACATTTTCTCAGATTGTATTCAACATTACATTACATTACATAGAATACATATCGGGTAGGCGGACCAACCAACCTTGCACCGCGACCCTAAGGATCTATTGTACCCCGATAGGTATCGTTATCAAATTTCACCGTGCAGTCCAATGTTCTTAACGAACATTAATACCTTGCTCGGCGAAAGGTCATTCAGATCTTTTGAGGAGATAAACTGCGACCCAAAAATCGAGAATCTGATACGGTTAACGGCAGGGCAGTGGCATAAAACATGCTCAACCGTCTCTGCTTCCTCCGCACATAGTCGGCATTCAACATCGTCGGCTAAACCCAACAAGTTGAGGTGTGCTTTTAATCGGCAGTGCCCAGTAAAAACACCCATTAGAACTTTTATGCTACTACGGGCAAGTCCTAAAATATTCCCGGGTTTGACAGTGGCGATGTTAATAAACACCTTAGCATGTCTCATTCCAGGAGAACTGGTCCACAGTAGGCGAAGTCTCTCTTCAGCCCACAGTCCAATCCTATATTTGGCCATCGCAAATGATACACCAACTGCTGGTTCCGGTCCCACAAACGCTTCAGCGCTGCCATCTCGTGCTAGCTTATCTGCCGCTTCATTGCCAGCAACCCCAGAGTGACCCGGGACCCAGATCAGAGAGACTCTGTTATCACAACTCAGTGTGTTTAATGTTCTCTTACAATCATTAACCAGAGCCGACACCGTTTTCACGGCTTGCAGCGCCTGGAGAGCGGCTTGACTGTCTGAGAAAATTCGTACTGTCATGTTCTTCACCCCTCTTTCAAGAAGGATTTTAGCACCCATGTCAATAGCAAATACTTCCGCCTGGAATACAGTACAGTACGTACCCAGGCTGTAGGCTTGCTTAATTCGAGGTGTCTGGCAGTATACTCCTGCTCCTACCCCTTCAGGCGTTTTTGATCCATCTGTGTACAAGCAAATGTCTGCCCGAACCAGAGAATTTTCATTTTCGATCCAGGACTGCCGCTCAGGCAGTACAATCTGGTATCGAGCATTAATCACTGATAGTGATACCGCCAAATCTGACGGCATTGATAGCACAGTATCAGTGCTTATAATGTCTTCCGCAGCCCATTGGTAGGACATGTCGGAACAGTTTTGAGCATATTGCTTAAATCTGTAAATGGTTGTTCTAGCCACTTTCTCTATATGCAAATGCAGAGGAGATAGGCCAAGCAGAACCTCCATTGCTAGAGTTGGCGTTGTGCCTATCGCACCAGAGATTGCCAATCCAGCTACTCGTTGAATTCGTGAAAGTTTACTGATAACTGAAGTCTGTCGGACTTTCCTATACCAGGCTGCTGCTCCGTATGTGATCATAGGTCTAACCACAGTCACATAGAGCCAGTACAGTCTTTCAGGGGTAAGACCCCAATTTTTTCCACAAAGACTGCGACAAGTCCACAAGGATAGTCTAGCTTTGTGCAAAACTCCCTGCAAATGTCCATTCCATGACAGGGTTTTGTCTAGGATTACTCCTAGATATTTGACTTCCTTTGAGAAAGGAATTTCTTCACCTTGGATAGTTGGGCGGATTAGTCCATCCAACTTTCGCTTCCTGGTGAAGGGCACAACAATTGTCTTTTGCGGGTTTATTGAGAGGTTCTCTCCCTTACACCAAGCGCAAATGGTATCTAGGGTCACCTGGAGGACTTTAGATATCCTCGGCAAACAGGTTCCTTTGACCATAACGACAATGTCATCAGCATAAGCTTGTATTTCCACACCAACGGCTTCGACTATCGCAATCAGATCGTCAACTAGGAGGGACCAAAGCAGGGGAGATAACACCCCTCCCTGCGGGCAGCCACCTCCCGGCCTGAAGCGTATCGTATCACCGTGGAGTGAAGTAGAAACTATTCTACTATCTAGCATATTGCGGATCCAACCCGCTATAGTTGCTTCCACTCCCCTGTCAAGAGCAGCTCTTTCAAGAGATTGTGGTATTGCGTTGTTGAACGCTCCCTCTATATTGTAATCAACATAGTGAGGATGCAGACGGAGATAACATTCCGCTAAGTATATTAAGGGAAAAATTAAGATGTGATAAAAATTTGGTCCTTGATGCTACTAGGGATACAATAAATTTACTACAGGAAGTAGTTCCAATAAGTTAATGCATAAGTGGTTTTAGAAGTCGATAGCAAAATCATAAACTGCATATTTTAGGGTGACTACACTGCTGCGATGTGGAACATGTGGACAAGGATGAAGCAGCAGATGTTGTGGAAATGTCTTCTTCAGATAAAGATGAAAACGAATGCACTGAAAAAAAAATTTGCCGTTCCGATGCAATTAAAGCATTTAATGTTGCAATTCAAGGAAAAGCAGTTATGGCAACAATTGCTCAAAAAAATATTCAGAAAAACATTACAGATTTTTTTAAGTCTTAGAAATGTTCATGAATAACTGATTTAGGTTTAAATAATAAACTTAATTTATTTAATTACACCCTCCTTTTTATGAACATCTCGTTAATATGACCCACTGTATTTTTTTGTGCACACTATCGCGAGTGTACTGTACATTTACCAGAAAAATGTATTTGAAAAAGCTGGCCATAGATCTTATAACACCGGTTATGAAACAACGCCTACAAATACCTACTTTATCCGCAGAATTCCGAGCTGTTATTGAGAGAATATTAAACTTGAAGCCCGAACCCGGTATTGCAATACCTAAACTACCATCGTCTCGCACATGTTTATTCTGTCCCAGAAGAAAAGTTCGCAAATCGCGGATTTTATATAAAAAGTGGAATAAGTTCATATGTTTAGAGCATCAAACCAAAGTGTGCTCTGAGTGCTCGAAGTGACTCAAAATTGATTATATTAGTTTACTTAGAGCCTTAATTTGTCTCGAGATATGTTTTTGTCAATAAAAGCTAAAACTTTATTGTCTATGACTTTTTCATTGGGGTACATCTGCATTCCAGGGTAGTAAAAATAAATATCTTTTATGGGTTAAATAAATTTTCCTAGGATAGTGCTTCAAGTCGTCTCTCCTACATATCCAAGGATCATTTCAATTTGCAACATATCAAATGTACAAATCATTTTTATCTACCCTCAAACACGTTCGCTGCCCATCTCACTTCAATGATTTCAATGTAATCTTACGATTCATATCTTTGATTTCTTGTCTCTTGACACCCCCTGATTCATTCAAGTATTACTTTCGTGAGTGATCAGCATCAAGAATCACTATAATACCCATTTAATTGATAGAAAGTTTAATTGATAAGTAGAGTTTCTGTTAAGAATAAGTAACGATTATAAAATCAGATAATTCCCAATTAAAACGGAAGATTCACGAAATCTTTATTAATTAGATTGAAAAATATCGAAGTTCTTAAAAAAAATTGGTAGAATCATCCGAGAATTGAGAAGGGGACGAGTATTTTTCCATCAGCACACTTCAGGAATTTCATTACAAGCACCGGGGCTTTGCACGGCAGCTTTCGGGGAATTATTTCCGGGCAGAATTGGTATTCATGGAATTTTTTCGTCCGCCGAAAAAAACCCCGGTAATTGTTTGTTTCTAACTTCGACCCCGCGGCAACGATAGATTTCCAATTTCTTCCGGCCCGTTTGTTGAAAGCTTCGGGATTAATCCTAACCGTCCCCTGCATATTTTCATTGTTATCTCGGGGCAAATAACAGTGCAAAACGATGCTAATCCCGCGGTGGAAAACGGAGGGTTAATAGTAAACCCACGAAATCCCACCCCATCTATATTAACTGGGAGGACTCTAGTGGATTTATTAACAGAATTTAACGGGGCTAATTAAATGCGGCGACGCGCCGCTTTTTGGGGGGTTACAATACGTTAATATCATCCCTCGGCGTTAATTAATTAAATTCCCACCAATTTACCCATTATTACAGATAACCGATTTTATAATTGAAATGCAGTACGAGAAATGAAAAAAAAGGGGATTATTATGTGGTGATTTAGCTACCCATCCTTTAATTATAAATACAATTCGGGGGCTAAAACCCCTAATTTAAATGGGTTTCGAATATTCCATATTTATTTACGACATCCAAAAACGATTAATAAACTCACTCACCCCCCTCGTGGAAAAATGGGGCAGGTTCGCGTGTTTTACCCGAATTATTCACAAGCGACGCGAGATTTTCAAACCACCAGACACAAAACGGAGGAATAAAACGCTACCAGTACATTTCCCCAGCGCGATTTATGTTTACTTAAAAAGTTTTCTTCAATATATCAAAAAAATAAAAATATCATCCCTTATTTTTATTTATAATTAATTTTATTAATTTATTTATTAACTTACCTAAAAGTAAATCAGCTGATGTCGTCAAAAAGGTAATAACAATGCCCAAGATTCCAAATAAAATTTCGTTTGTGACCAACATTTTTTTTTGTTTTTCATAAACTTTGTGTAACTTTACGTGAAAAATTTTCTCTCTCAACTTGTTAAGCTACCGATACCGACCGAGCGCACATGTCGACTGAAACGACGACGCCGTAACGACGTTGGACGTCGCGACGCCGCCGTTCAGAAGCGCAAGCGCTGCCCCAGTTTGTTTCGACTTTGGTTGTGATTTCCTTCTTCGCCTTGGTTTTCGAAGAGAAGTAGGAGGGGCGTCTCGTTAATTGTCGCTGTAAATCATCTTTTCGTCTCGCGTCGAGGGAAGGGGAGGTGTGCCACTGACTTTTCCAATGCGTTTTTACAAAAGGAAAACGAGGAATTGTGTACCGAGGGATTTTCCCCTAGAAATAAGAAATTGAGAGGAAATAAAATTTATTGAGCTTAGAAGTTAGACGATATCATGGTTGTAGAAGGGGAAGATTCAATCGGTTATTTTGATTTATTGTTATGTTAGGGGGTGGTGAAAGAATTGATTTTCTTATATTTTTTTTGTAACAACTTTTTAATTATGTTTATTCCAATAATTTAAGTATAACCCTTTCAAAACAGAATATAACAGAACAAATACGAACCGGTATGGAACGTCCAATTTCAATTCAATTTTTTTACACGGCGCTTGGCAAAACACAAAGGCAATATGATTTAAATTGAAAATATCGTCGGCCAGATCAGCCATCAGCATAATTCGATTCGCCGTACGCATATTGGACGCCCTTTTCCCCCCATCCCGTTTCGGCGCGTCCGTCAGCGTATATTCATATTTTATGTGTAAAATATTCATACCAATATACGCGCACCAATGCATAATCCTCCCCCACAACAATAACGCGACCGACCCTCCGTTTTCGAGCACAAAGCGGTCTATACTACAAGGCGCGGGCCCTTGTCGGACAGGGTAACGTTATATTACCCCCTTCGCTACAATCTTTTACTTTGCCGAGGGGTGCGCGCTTGAGGAAGGATGGTAATCTTATTCGCTTGTACGACGAGATGGTTGTATACGACAATTTGTGTCGTATTTTATATCGTTTTCAACGTTATTACGGGGTAACACAACCAATTGAGTCATTCTAATCTAGATGTTGTTCAAGTAAGATTAGGTTGGGTACAAATTTTAAGACATAACTCTTTGAAAATTTTTGTATTACATTATAGATAGATATAAACCCACTAAAAACAATTTTGCTTTGCTGGAAAACCTTTGTATTTATCATAATCTACCTAGTCGAACTGGATCTTGCAACATTATTTTTGCATACTTTATTGTTCGAAGTTGTTATCATCGTCGACATTTATATCATGCAATTATTGTAACTTTGCAGTCTAAATCTTCATTTACGTTGTAATAAACGGTCATTAATTTTTTAGACCTTTCAAAACTTGGTTTATTGCGTAGAGGGGTATGTAGGAGTGAACCAAGTTGAGCAGCCGATACAGGAATTAACAACAGCTTGATTTCCAATTTAGAAAGCACTAGATGGTGTACCTTTACTGTGTTCCAAAACACAAGCGGTTTAAAAATTTCCTTTTCCAAAAGAATTTGGAAAATACCTACTTTGACATTGTCTAAAATCATCTAAATTCTCTGGTCCATCAGTATTCAAATTCTTTAATAAAAATAGATTAATGCGGAAGATACGGAACACCTGTATATTAAGACTCACATCTTTTCTTTTGTTAAGTTCGTCTCGAAATTGCTCTTGATATTCTTCAGGAAATTCCAAGTTGAACCGTTCTTTGGCGGAATCCGCAGTAGAGCGGTTGCATTTTGGCAAGTGTTAATTAATTTGCAGATGGGATCTACAGGGTGCGGCAAAACTCCCTCCCTAATTTGAAAGTTGAATAAAAAACAGATGGTACAAATTAACGAAACTGTATTAACATGAATGGAATTTACAGAGTGGGAAGTTACGTTATTATGTTTTACAAGTTTCTCTTGTCTTTTCTTTCGTTATCAATGCATTGCCGAAGGCGAGTTCGGAAGTTCGCCATTACTCTAATCAACATTTCTTGAGGAATACGAGCAATCTCTTCTTGAATCGTTTGTTGTAGGGCTGGCAGAGTCCTCGGACGATATTTGTAAACTTCAGCCTTAAGAAACTTCCATACAAAAAAAATCACAGGGAGTAAGGTTTGGAGATCGTACTGGCCAGTGGATGTCACTGCGCAAAAACATCAAGTATTCTGGGAACAGCTGCCTTAGTTCTTGAAGAGATCTCCTGCTTGTGTGAGTAGTGGCCCCGTCCTGCTGAAGCCACACATCCTGTTGAAAATCTGTATCGCATTGAATAGTGGAGCCATAAAAGTTTGAAGCATTTGAATGTATTGATCCGAGTTAATGATGATCCCGACACTGTTAATCACTCACCACACGCTAACACGTCTATTATGCAGAGGCTTTTCATGGAGTTCCTGAGGGTTTTGTGCACTCCAATAACGGTAACTTTCGAACACGCATTCGGCAATGCATTGATAACGAAGGAAAACACTTGAGCGATATACTGTTCAAAAAAAGAAACAGTTTCGTTAATTTGTACCATCTGTTTTTTATTCAACCTTTAAATTAGGCAGGCAGATTTGCCGCACCCTGTAGTAGTTGCATATAGTAGCTTCTAACGTTTTCTATGAATTCTTCGTTGTATAAATTTGATACAGATTTTTACATCGGCAGCAACAGCGTTCATATAGGAGAGATTTAAAAATGAAACATGAGCATCTGTATAGGAGGACCAACGAGTATCGCAAGGTAATTTCATCTTATGACCAACTTTTTCAATATTTTTTTTTTCCAGATCATCATTTTTGAACTTCCGTAAAATGTTTATAACCTTATCTGTTAGAATTTTATCGACTAAACTTTTTGCAAGTAAGTTAGCTGTATGACTGCTGTGCCAGACAATATGTTTTAACATACCACCCATTTTTACCATTACAGAGGCATTATCTGATACAATGGCATATACTTCCGCGTTGAAAATTTCTTTGGTTAATTTGATGGCAGAAATTACTATTTCCGAAAGTTTCTCACTTGTTTCCGGTTCCCCTGATAAAAACCCACACACAAACAACTGTTTTTGTATTACTGGACGTATTTTCTATCCATCAATAATCATAGCAGATACACTTGTAACAAACTTAGAAACTGCAGTTATGCTCTGTTTGTAAATATTGTCAAACAATGTTGTAGATAAAGTTATTCTAGAAGAGAGCCTATAAGCGGGTCGTAACTTGTTTACAAAACTTTTAAAACGATGCGACTCAACAACACTAAATGAAAGATTGCAACCAAAAATAAACTTTGCAAACAATTACTTAATTCTATTTCTTCATGAGTATCCAGAGTGTCAACAAAATTCGTAATAGCTACATTACCTTTAGTTTTTCTTGTATGTAAAGTATTCTTGAAATATTTTGGTGTCATTGCAGTCGTGGTAGCTAAGGAAGTTGGATTTTTATGTAAAGAAATAGCAGTTTCTTCACTACATGAAGTAATACTTGGTGGTGAAATACTGCTGTGAACGCTTTCGTTAGAATTAGGAACTTCATTAACTAAATTTAGTTGTCCATCATCTGCAATTAAGAATTCTAACATCTGGTAGTCACTATTTTCTGCATTATCAGGATTACTGACTTCATAATCAAACATGTTAGTTAAATTTGCAGAATCCGAATTGTTGACAGAATCTGTTTTAAACATTCCAGCGATGGTTGATTTTCTAGTGTGTACATTCACATAGCATTGGGAATTGACACAGCTAAAGTCAGGATATATTTCGGAAAGTCTACTTATTTCCAGTACGATACTAACCTGTGCGATTTCAATCGAGCGACTGATGTACAATTTGTTAACAATTTACTACAAATTCCACACTTCGCGATATAAGTATTATCCTTGATTAGCATAAAATCTAATTCCTCCAATACTTTATTTCTTTTACGTCCAACCATATCGAATATTATGTATTTTACTCTCTAGACTCAGTTCATAACTTAAGAACTAGCTTAACTCTAAGACTTTAAGACTATTAAGACAGGAAATAACGAATGGCATTTGCAATTCGCAATAGCGACAGATGAAAATATATCTGACATAAACTTACATTATATTATGACGTATTTAAATTCGACACAATATCTACATTGTCTTATAAAAATGTTCTACGTATAAATGTGGATAATCAAAATCTACGCGTAGAGCGTCTCTCACTTAATGGATCGAATGGATTGATATCTGAAGACTTGTCCAGTATGAGGTTATGAAACATTTTGGGTTTGGTGTGAGTTTAGGGCATTTCTAGCTGACTAACTATTTTGGATAACACTTGAGTATCAATTTGTTTCTCTAAAGAAGTAGAAATGAAATGATAAAATTAGGTGCACGCCATTATAAAGTGGAGTCTTTAAAGTTTAATTTGAACTAAAAATCATTTATTAATTTCAATAAATAAGGTATATATGATTCTTTGAAAAATGTCGTTTTTTACGGAGTATGGGTAAATATAAAAACAGATGATTCGGTTTAAAATTTTTTCTGTAAAAGTAGAGATGAAATTATAAATTTTTTTAAACACCATTATAAAGTAGTGACTTTAATCATCTACTGGTAGACGTTTACCATACAGATGAGGATGACTCTTCCAGAAAGGAGATAATTATTGGATACTTACTGTTTGAGGTGTGCAATTTTAGTACTGTAAGATAGGGCTACTTGGCCACCCCGGGGCTACCTGGACGCAACGCATATGTGTTCAATCCTGTGTCAAGAAAACGAGATTAGGTTACGTTTTTGTTTCTGGTGTTTTTTTTTCTTGTTATCAAAGGAAGTCACTGATTAAAAATGGTGCGCACGTATCAAAAAACTCCAGGGTCAAAACCCTACATGAATTACAAAGTGGACGACTTGAAAAAGGCTATGGATGCAGTTCGGATGGGGATGTCAAGGAAAAAGGCCGCAGAAACGTTCAAAGTGTTGGACATCCGACTGTTTTAAGCAAGTCTGAGGAGCTGTTGATTTCTGAAACTTTGGCTGTTGTTGCGAATTGGGGGTTCCTCTTGACAAAG